AGTGTCCAAACATCCGATGTGACAGGGACTAAAAATTAGTCCCTGGAACCAAACATCCCCTTAGTTCTAGTTTTTAGGTACATAAATTTTATTACACACCTAAATTTGGAATGGAAGGAGTATTTCATTAAAAGGAATTGTACAACACGTTAGATAATTAATATAGATCCGCTGAATCCTGATAAAAATGTTGTATCTAATATTCATAATAAGGTTTTGTTTTAGCACAGCTTCAAATGAGTTTGGTTCCTTACTTCCTTGCTACAAGGCGCAAGAGACTTGAAGCTAGTAAAGCAAAAAAAAATACCGGTTTGATTGCTTCCTAATTAATTTTAAGAAGAGATAGAAAGCTTGCTACAGCATACAATGGACTGGAGCCGGAGCTAAAAATAGCCGGAGCACCGCCAGATGAAGAGAAAGCTTGCTACAGCATACAATGGACTGGAGCCGGAGCTAAAAAATAGCGGGAGCACCGTCACCGTCAGATGAAGCCTAATGGCCTATTTGGTACAAATCCGGCTCCAGCCAAAACAGCTCTAAATGTGGCTTCACCTGTGGAGCAGCTTCATTCGTGGAGCTGAAACCATTTTTTGGACCGTTCGGTAAAACAACTTTTCTTCATTGTTGGAATGTGTGAAATACCAATAATACCCTTTCTCTTTTCTTTTTTTTCCTTTTCCTTTCTCTCTTTATTTCCATTCTCTCTCCACCTTATCTCTTCTCCCCACCGTGTCCTCATCTTCTCTCTCAGCTGCAGCCGCTCGTTCGTCTGCTCCGCATCCTCATCTTCCTCGAGCTCCCGGCCTCACAGGCTCACACATGGCGTGGGAATGCGTCATCTCGGCCACAGCCCTTGCCGTTGCCCAACCTCTGTGCCGTCCTTGCCGGCCATCGCGTCTCCTCCAGCCGCCACCGCCTCGCCCCGCGCTCCGACGAGCTTGCCCGGCCACCTGCGCCTCGCCGGCACTCCGGCTTGGCTTCTCCGCCACCTCTACCTCGCCCGGGCTCCGGCGTGTCTGCTCAGTCTGCCTCCGCCTCACCCACGCTCGGAGGAAGGGCAATTTGGGGAGGGCCCACATGCCTGGACGGAGGAGCCGGAGGAAGCTAGTATTTTCAGCTCCGGCTCTCTTGTGCCTCCTCTCAGCGCGTTTTCCGGGGCTTCTTCGAAGGAGCGGAGCGGTGAACACCCGTTTGGTTGGTGACGAGGTGAAGCGGCTCCCGGAGCGATTCCGAGAGCGCTACCAAACGGCCCCTAAGTACTTCGTTCGTTCTAATTTTGAAATTGTAGGTTGTTTGCTTTTCTAAATATATAGTTTATGTATCTAGACATAGCATAAACCTACTCCCTCCATCCCAAAGAATATGATTCTGGTGTGTTTGGTAGAGATCCAAATTCTCTCAAAAATGTTTCGGATTCAGTTTCTTCTAAGAAACATTTCTTCCAGTGAATCAAAATCTCTTTCTCAAATCGTTTGGCAAGTTGGTCGGATTTTGATTCTTGAAGGGTGGCGAAAATCATTAGTTTACATGAAAAGAAATCATAAAAATATATAAGCTTTACAAAAAAATGTTTTTTTATGGGCGAGATCAAATCAAAAGCAACCAATTTTAATTGGTTTCGCTTGAAGAGGATCACTAGAAATATTTCTAGATTAGGTGGGGGCAGGAATGCAAGAAACAGAATCTGGAGAAACAACTCTAGTGGTGATTCTGATCTCTAGTAAAAAAGAAAGAATCACTAGAAATGTTTCTACATAGAATCCGTATCGTGTTTGACCGTTTGGAATTGTTTCTAGTGATTCGGAAGAGAATCGAAACTGATACTTGCATCCAAACGGACCCAGTATTGTCTAGATTCATATCTAGAGTTTTTTTTAAGATGTGCTGAGCGAGCCGTGTATTCCACAGGCACGATCCGAGCCTCCTAGAGCTGAAGGAAGTAACATCACGTCTCGTGACTCCGAGCGCCGCCCCCCCCCCCGCCTTCACCACCGCTGGTCTCCCTTCCTCCCCCCCTCCCATCAGCATATCGCCGAGGGCGGAGGAAGTGGAGATCCATCTTTTCTAATAAGTTTCCCAGTAGATCGAGTCCTTAGTGTTATGGTCTCTCCATGCCAAAGTTTCTTGATTTTGGGGATTTATCTCTTTCTCCTCTCTGGTGACGGCGAGAGGACAAGGTGGAATCGTTTTCTCTATGACGGCTCTGTTGAAGATGAGGGTGACAACTACGACGTCAGCATCCTCACCGGTATGACGACGCATCCTCACCGATATGACAACACGGAGACCTTTATTTCTAGACGACGACATCAAGGCGGAGATGGTGTCGTCGCCATGGAATAATTTTCTCTGGTCTTTTCTCTGTTTTATTGTGGTTAGATCTGGTCACGATGAAGGACCAGTGAGAATAAGTTTTTATCAGTCTTCCTTATTCTTCGGTGGCATAAAGAAGAAGAAGGAAGACACCAGAAAGAAGAAGTTTCTTAACCCGTCTACATGAATGTTGGCCGTCGTTCGTTGGGCATTTGTTCTCAGACCTTTTGCCAACTATTTGCATGTTTGGTCATCTATACTGCAAAACGTCATACATGTTTGGTTTTGATATTTAGAGTTATTCACAGCGTTGGTATAATTTAGATGAAAATTAGTTTATGGATATTTGTGTAATCTAGAGTGCTCGTAACGTGTTGATGTACCCAGCTATTATCTAATTTAATTCTTTTTTTCATCGTAAAAGATGATTTTTTTAAACGGAGGGAGTAGGTGTATTGCAAAAGGTTATTTACCTTAAAAGGACTATTTTTTGACAATAATTTGCGCTAAATCTGTAACTCATGCCGTGTTTGGTTTCAGGAAGTTAGAATTTTGGACTCTGTAGCACTTTCGTTTTTATTTGGCAATTAGTGTTCAAATATGGACTAATTAGGCTCAAAATGTTCGTCTCGCAATTTCCTACCAAATTGTGCAATTAGTTTTTTTTCGTCTACATTTAATGTTCCATGCACAAACCGTAAACATTCGATATGATGGCTACTGTAGCACATTTTGGGATTTTGGGTTGGAACTAAACGTGGGCTCACTCGGACATTTCTTTGGCTCCCGTCACTCGAATTTGTGGGCCGTCCGATTCCTCTATCTTCTTATCTCCCCCGTCTATCTTTCTTTTCTTTTGTTCTGCCCGTCGATCGTGCGCTGTCAACTGGCATCAGTGGCGCTGCCCGGGACCACGCGCCTGCGGACGCAAGTGCAGCTGATGGGGACGCAAGGCGCGTCATGTGCATGTTGCTCCGAGCCTGCCCAATGCGCCACCGGTGGAGCGCATGCAGTACAGTGCCTGCTGCTTTGCAGGTGAAGGCACAGTCTGCTCCATCAAATCACGTAGCCCCTACCATGTACTTATGTGTTATTGTACCGTATTTTACTATCTTTGTTTGAACGTAAGTTGTGTATTTAACGTGTATAAATTGATTATTCATAAATGAGAATGGTCAGAATTACTCAAACTATTATCTGATTTTTTCTATTTTTTCTGTATGTTTTATTTGGTTCCTCTTTGAAATATTCCAATTTGGCTTGCATAGAAATTGTCTTGTTATTTTTATGCATTTTTTATTTGTTGTTTGTATGTTTTATTTGCTTTTTCTTTGAATTTCTTCCAATTTGCATTCCATAGTAATTATCTGGTAATTAATTATTTTTGATTTTTATTTTTATTTGATATATTTTATTTGTATAGTTAGATTTAGATCCAGCAGCTATAGGAATCGAGTGTTTAGCTGGGATGTGTCACTCGATTACGTTTGTTGCTGCGATTCGAGTGTTTTCAGGCGACGTGACACTCGGGTGTGAGATGTCCCCCGAACACCCGGCCTCTGTATAGAAAGACCCGTAATTTGAGACGGTTACTGAGAGGTTGTGTTTAGTTGGGGAGACGAAAATTTAAAATTTTCAGGTGTCATATTGGATATGTCGGAATGATATCAGGAGAAGATTTTGGATATTAATAAAAAAATAAATTATAGAACCCATCAGAAAACTGCGAGACGAATCTAATGATACTAATTAATCTGTCATTAGCACATATGTGTTACTGTAGCACTTAAGGCTTTTCATGGACTAATTAGACTTTAAAGATTCGTCTCGTGATTTTGTTGAGAATTGTGTAATTAGTTTTTTTTTCGTCTGCATTTAGTACTCCAAACATATATCAAACATGCTCTTTTACTATAAGAGGAAAAAAAATTGAAAACTAAACAAGAAAAAAAGAGTTGGCCGGAAGCAAACTACTGACGAGAAAACTGCATACTTATCAGTGTCCAAACTCCAAAGAACTCAAAGATGGTCACGCTGCTAGGTAGAAAATCATCACATAGTTGACAACTCTGGTGGAGGTTAGCCCAAAATGAACTCTTTAGATTGTCTGGCCGCGCCCGGTCTCACACACGCTCGAAGACTTGCAAAGCGGGTTCGAGACCGCTCAACCCGTGGGGCAGATCCACGGAGTTCATAGTGAGGAGGAGTAGGCGTATGCCGGTTTTTTCCACCCCTTCCACCTCGTCCCTGCTCCGGCCCCCTTCCTCTTCGCCTCCGGCGTCTCGCCGGCAGCTAGAGGGATGTGGGCCGGTCCCAGCTCCCTGTGTACATACTAGCTTCTACCTAGTTTTAGTTTGTGTTGAGTGTTTTCCGGATGTGTGTTCCTCGCCGCTGTTCCTCTTGCCATGGAAGCTGCTCTCTTCCTTGAGCTATACATTGGCTGCCATGGATTCAAACAGAGCACCTACCAAATAAAGGCGGCGTTTCCCTTCTTCCCTCCCTTTACCCAGCTCGATTTGCTAGTGCCCAGAGTCGATCCGTTGGATTGCACGCCACTCAGCAATCCCGCGGTTCTCCAACAGAGCATTCGAGCGGGAGCATATGCACACGCCGCTTGCGCGGCGGCCTTCTTCCAAGCCTCCGGCCGGCTGGCTGCGCCACCTGCGGACGCGGAGCAGCCGGCGCACTCACGCAGTGCGGAGCTGGTTCGCTCGGAGGTGACGGTGCGGAGGGGAAGCCACCGGTCTTCCTTTATCCTTCGCGGATGGTCCAGCGCGGGGGCCGGAGCGGGAGCCGCAGACGACGGCGGCTGCTCCGCGCCCAACTTCCCCGGCAGCGTCGGTGTGCTTAGCGGCGGACCGAGGGGAAGCCACCGGGCTTCCTTTCTCCTCCGCGGACGGTCCAGCGCGGGGGCTGGAGCGGGAGCCGCAGACGACGGCGGCGGCTTCGCGCCCAACTTCCCCGGCAGCGTCGAGGTCCTCCGCGACGGACCACGACGCGCTGCCGTCGATCCGCGCGGCGCCGTCGGAGGTGGACGACTTCTCGATGTGGATGGACGCGGACTGCTGTGTCGACCGTTTCGTTGCGGCGTGCGACCCGACTACGTGGCGCGTCGCGGACCTCTCCCTCCGCGTGGAGACCGACGACGAGGTGGTGGCGCCCGCTCCTGTGCTCCATGATCGGGCCCACATTCTGCGCTATGGGGCCCGCCAATGCAACGCGTTACGCATGCAGGAGCAAACGGCGTACTCCTCAGTCCTGTCTACTGCTCCAGTGGGACCCTCCATTGCCTTGCGTGTTCGTTCTGCAAGTTGAACACGCAACTGGCTCTTGTAGATCCTCCACGTACACATCATGGGGCCCACCACGTGTTGTATCCGAGAAGCTCAGATTGCAAGTTTTTTTCCTCTCTATCACATTAAATCTTTGATATATACATGAAGTATTAAATGAAGATAAAAAAATAATTAATTATACGGTTTGATTGTAAATTACGAAACGAATTTTTTAAGTCTAATTAGGTCATGATTGAACAATAATTATCAAATACAAACAAAAATGATACGGTGTTAAATATTAATTCTTAACCCCCATCTTAACACGGCCTTCGTACTCAGGTTTCTGTTTTTCGGGAGGATGGGAGGAGGATGGGAATATGGCAAAGCTACTCCTGCTGTACGGGTTGACCGAGAAGTGGAGCAGACTCTTGAGTCCGGTGAAGCTCATACAGCTGTGACTCAAGATTTCAAATCCTCGTAGACACGTGCTGATCACACAGTCGAAGGGAACGCCAACTGTGTTATCGGAGTGCAACGATGAACGCATGTTCAGTTTCAAAAATACTTCCAAAAAAGTGCTACCGTATCCGTTACATCGAATCTTGCGATATGTGTATGGAGCAGTAAATGTAGATGAAAAAAAAAATTAATTGCACAGTTTGGTTGGAAATCGTGAGGGGATCGTTTTAAGCCTAATTAGTCCATGATTGAACATTATTTGTCAAATAAAAACGAAAATGCTACAGTACCCAAATTCTAACTTTTCCACCGTCTAAACACAGCCTGAGGATCTCTGATGTCTCCGTCGTGGCCATGCCTCCATCATGGTCCGGTGCCCCCGATGGCCTCCGATGGAGACATCATCAACTGTGTTTTCTCCAGCTAAAAGATAGATCTTCTTCTAGAGCGACAGATGTCCAAGAAGATAGGCTTCTTTATTTGAGTCATTATGTTGACTCCTTTCTATTAGCTAGGAAGCTACACCTCTGTTCTTTGGGAGGTACACAATACGAAATCTTTGTACTCCGTTCTTATTGTTATAATATACTCCCTCCGTCCCACAAATAAAAGTGCATCTAGCTCTTGGACGCGCGGATTAAGAAAGTTAGTAAATTACGCTGATGCCCCTATAAAGGCATCTGACAACTCTCAGGAGTGTTTCAGACAGCACAATTTAAAATGGTCAAACTGGTGGCAAAAGCAGAGAAGCGTCAGATAATAAAAAATTATTTAGTGGAACCAGCCGGCCGCCACGAAGAGCACAGAATGTTCTAGTAACCCAAATCTGGCGCCATTGTGCCCACATTACAAAATTTGAACTGACGCCATTGCACCACTATAAAAAGCCTCCACCTGTTCAGATGAACCCAATGAAAGGCTCAACATGCTCCAAATTCCCCCCTCCCCTTCCAAACTCCAACAACCTGCAATCCAATCTATAGTTAGACATGGCCATAGATCTCAACATAGTACCAGATGAAGGAGATGGAGAGTTGGCCATAGATCTCAACACAGTGCCAGAAGAAGGAGACGGAGAGTTGGCCATAGATCTAAACATAGTTCTTGTTGAAGAAGATGAAGAAGCCTTACCTGACCTAAATGCAGAACCTGCACATGTGGAAGGTGTTGAAACCCATCATCCTCAGGATCAAGATCAAGCCCATCTCCTCCAAAAGGATGAAGTACATCGACACCATGAAGATCAGGTCCACTATCTGCAGGAAGATGAATAGGTTGGTGTGCATGGCATTGATCTCAACATCGCTGCTTGTGAAGGACAACCACCACATGAAGGTAATGTCTCTTAATTGCATCATTACAACTAGCAAATGGTGAAATGTGTAAACAGAAGTTCAAAACATGACTTACACACTATGCCACACCTTTTCTGCAGTCCTTGCTGTTGAAGAAGACCATCAACAACATGGAGATATCAGTTTTCATGGTGCATATGAACAAGATGAATCTGACCTCAACAAGATGGAACGAACGGAAGCATATAGGCACCAAAATCTTGTATATGCTCATGAAGACATCATGGTAGATTGGATCCATGTTGGCAAGCACCTCCTTCAGTTGTTCAGGCACTTCGGTGGGCACCTTCATCCTCGAATCCTCATGGACGGGTAGATCCTTGTGAGCAGCCTGATCCGCGGTCACATAAGGGGCCATCTCCACACCGGCAGCCCCGACTGCGGCCTCGTCATGGACCTAGGGGTCAGGTCCATGGCGAGCTTTCGTGCCCGCAGAGACATGTAGGCCACACGCCTGATCCTCCATGCTGGATTCTTCATCTTCCGAGTCGGGGACATACACGCTGTCGTGGCAGTCGATATGCAGGCCAGCCTTCTTGAGTTGATGCCCACGCATGTAGATCCAGCCCTCCCCGGCCGAATCAGCGCTGCTTGGCTTGTCGACCTTGGAGTCGGCGCTGCCTGCCTTGACTACTTGGCCGAGGCTCCCACCACTGTTACACCCGCGGGCCCCGCGGCCACCGGCCTTGAGTACACTCTCGCCATGGGGCTCCATTACAGCGCCCCTGGCAGCGCGCATCTTGCCACCTCGAGGCATCCGGCGGCTACGACGATGGATCCCGCTCCCTCTCGCCATGCACGCATAGGGGAACTGCTCTGGTTAGGAAGCAAAAGGATCGAACTCTGCTGCTATACGGGATGTGAGCTGGGTGGGGAAGGGAAGAGGAACGAGTGGATGGTGCGGTGGAGATGATGCGTATGCGAACGAGTGGACGGCAAGACCGGTCACGGGCGCTTCTGGATGCAGGTGGCTCCGTTGATTTTTTCCCTTTTTTTTATGAGTTCTTTTTTATTATTATTTTCTTGGTCCCACACACGAACAGGGACAACAGGACGGGTCACGGGCGCTTCTGGGAGGCTCCGTCGATTTTTTTTCTCGGGCCCACATGAACTGACGATGTGCTTTGTCACATTGGTAACACAATAACCTATAGGGCCTATATTGACACATATTATGGGAAAAATTTTGAATCCTAAATATATTTTTATTTGTGGGACGGAGGGAGTATGGAGTATGTGTTGTTGTAAAAAAAAACAAGTTGCAAAGCTGGCGAAGCTTTCTTGTGTGGGAACATTGCACACGGTCAGAACTTGATCAGAAGACAGAAAGAAGGCCTGAGAAAGATGGTGGCAGCTGGTACTGGTAGCAATCAGAAAAGAAATCATGAAGGCAATTAAAAAAAGAAAAGCTCAAAACAGCATCTCACCAAGAAAGCAGCAAAGCCGAGCAATGAGAAAGAAAGCGGCGGAAATGTTTGTGGGCTTGTGGCGCCGGCCGGAGCAGAGCGCGACTAGACGCCGGCGGATTGAGCTGCCTTTGGGTTTTGCCTGATCGGCTGATCCGAGTTGACTGACATGCCGCTGGTGTGGGTGGCTAGAAGCGGCAGTGCGCCTTGCAGTTGGCGTCGCAGTCGTAGAAGCAGGGTCCGTCGCAGTGCATTGGGCACAGCAGCCGCATGCCACTGCACCGCCCGGGCGCCGTGCACCGCGCGTACTCCCCCACGCGGTACAGGCTCGAGCTGTAGCTCGGCCGGTGCCGACGCGCCCTCCTTCCGCCGCGCCATGCCGTCGTCCCACGGCCGTCCTGTCCGTGCTGCTCTGCCCTTGTCCCGCCGCCGCCACCTCCTCCTCCACCGCCGCCGCCGCCACGGCTACCACCACCACCTCCACCACCACCACCTCCTCCACCTCCACCTCCTCCGCTACCATCACCTCCGCCACCGCCGCCGCCCTCAGTGCCCCAGCCCCATCCCCACCCATAGCTCCACGAGGTGCCCCCGCTGCTCCCCCCTCCTCCCCCACCGCCACCGCCTCCATCCTTGCGGCCGGTGACGCTGCTGGCATTGTAACTGCCATTGTGGCCAGCCGCATCTACGCTCTGCACCTGAGCCACGGGTCCTGCTCCTTCGGGCAAGGCTCCACTTGCGGGCATGGGCACCGCCACCAACACAATGAACACCAAGAAAAGCACGCCCGCGCCGCCCATGGCAGGCACGCGTCGAGTACGCATCCCCTGTGAAATAAGCATGCCTATGAGGCCTGTGCGAAGCAAACGAACAAGCTGCTCGAGGAATAGATACACTGAGCTTAGCTAGCTGCCGTTTATATAGGAGTATATGGCTACATGACAAAGTGGCATGGCCATATGCCCATATCCATGGAGTGGGTGGTGGCTAAATGATGCCAGACAGTGAGGTCCCGTTTAGATTTAAAATTTTTTGTGTAGTATCCGTCATATCGAATCTTGCGGCATATGCATGAAGTACTAAATATAGATAAAAAAAACTAATTACATAGTTTGATGAGAAATCGCGAGACAAAACTTTTAAACCTAATTAGTCCATAATTAGACACTAATTGTCAAATATAAACGAAAAGTGCTACAGTAGCTAAAATCTAAAAAAATTTAGATCTAAACGGGACATAAGCATGGCACTACTACAAGAAAACGAGGTGGTCGAGAGAGAGAGAGAAGGGCCAGATCGAGGGGCCACTTGACTTCATGTGCACTTCTTCCACGACAACAGCAACACAACAGCATATGTGAAGTGCGACGGCTCACCAGGAGAATGCGTGCTCGCTCTAAAGTCTCTATAGCTAATCTAGTACCACACATGTGAATTACACATTGATCTCTGTCTTACTGGGCCAGATAAATACGCCCATGCCGGCTTTTGTTCGTTATGGTGGCCAGCCAATCATATCTTCTCTTGCTTATAGTCTTTCTATATATACTAGCAGTGTCTATGGGTCATTCAGTCCCACATATCCGTTAAGGGTGTGTTTAGTTGGGGAGGTGAAAATTTTTAGGTATCACATCGGATGTGTTGAAAGGTTGTCGGGAGAGGTTTTTAGATACTAATAAAAAAATAAATTACAGAACCCATCAAGAAACTGTGAGACGAATCTAATGATACTAATTAATCTGTCATTAGCACATGTGGTTTATTGTAGCACCTAAGGCTTTTTATGAACTAATTAGACTTAAAAGATTCATCTCATGATTTTATCGAGAACTATGCAATTAGTTTTTTTTTCCGTCTGTATTTAGTACCCCATGCATGTGTCCAAACATGCTCTTTTACTGTGGGAGATAAAAAATTTTAGAAACTGAACCAGGCCTAATTAAGGTGGGCACAGGGCACACTACTAGTCCTTGAAGATGAAGTTAGCTTCTGCGATTAGCGGGTATTTTTTAATCTACTCAACAACCTCGACCAAGATCTATTAATATGCCCGTGTATATCCATATATAAGCTGGCCTGTCGACCTACGCTTGCTCTCGATGCATTGGTTCGTCGACTCCCTGTTCGTCGCAGGCTCGCACCATGCCAGCATCCCACTCCCTTGCTACCGTTGGGATTTTTTAAAACCCAGAAATTTGGTTGCGTTAAATTCCTAATCCATATGCAACTCAAACGTGCTGCATCTGGGCTTTTTTTTTTTTTGACTTCCATGAGATTCATGGCCCAATAGACCGAGCCCTGTAGACGTTGGACAAAGTCGCCTCCGTGGTTTGGAAAGAATGAACAGACATCTAGCTATTGAGAGATACAAAGGCCAAACATGTATATGTATACAACGACTCCGGATAGTCATATATTTTTTTCTCAAAAAAAGATAATCATATCGTCGGGAATCCTGCTTGGTGCGTTGAGCAATCCCGATAGACACGGAATTTATATTAGTTGGGCCCTCAAGATCAACTAAAAGCCTTACTGTAAGGGACCGTGACGTCTAAGGATGGTGAATTAGGCAACTTAAAACTCTAACTCTAAACTATAGCATCTTTTTTTTATTCTTAGCAAAACATATGCAAAAGATAAACTATCTAAATATGTAATTACGATTTTACCAGTATGTTGTTATCTCTACCACAAAAGAAGTTATGCAAATAATGTAAATGCTAAAACTAAAGTGTAAGATAGAGATATGCAAATTCCCGTCGATAACTCCGGTATTTTTACCGAGGTATCGAGAAACGCGCAAGCTTCCCATAGTCCTCGCAAGGAATTTCTCGTAAATGCCAATCTCCTGGTCGGGTAACTCTGTGGATAGCCTCGGGCCTTCCCCACGCATAAGTGGGTCTCCTACGTGCCTTCCGACAAGCCTCTCCTGGATGCTCCCCGCCGTCTTCACTATCAAGCTTTCCGTCGAACCGCTGCGGGCCTTGTTCCCTTCGGTACACGGTGGCGGCCACACCACAATACGGTTGGTGTGATCTCGTAAGACTATAAGCCCCTCCGATGTACAACAATGGTGCGCGCAAACACCGAGTGATAAGAGATGTGCAAACCTCACTAAACACTAGGCCTAAACCTAGAGCAAGCGCATAAGCGGTGGTCTAATCAATCTAAACACTTCGCAAAACACCTACGCTAATCACCTTATGAATCACTTAGCACTATGCAAGTGGAGATCACTAAAATGATGTATTAAGACCCTTGGTATGTTTCCTCAGCTCTACTCTACTCAAATAGTCGGTTGGGAGGTCTATTTATAAGCTCCACTGAGAAAGTAGCCGTTGGGGATGAAACCCACCTTTCTGCTATTGACCGGACGCTGTTGTCGTCCCGACCGTTGAAGCTAGCGCGTTGATCGAACTCGGCGCTGAGTCCGGTCACTGCCAATCGGACGCGTCCGGTCGCGCTGGCGCCGCTCTAGAACCTCTCTGGACTTGATCAGACGATGCAGTTCCTGCGTCCGGTCGATCACCCTCTAGCATCCGGTTAGTACTGAGCTATTGTCACGATAGTGAACAGAATCACCTGAATCCTCAGCGTCCGGTCCTTGCTGCTGACGCCTACCGTTGCCGAGCATCTTGATCGAACGCGTCCGGTCGCTATAAGGACCGCATCTGGTCACCTCTGTGAAGCTTGTTTCTTCGCGATCTTGCGTCTGGCTTGGTTCCTATCTTCGTGCTTGGACTTTGCTTGATATCTTGGGTCTTCTCTTGTGCTTCTTCGGTCTTGCTTATGGTGTTGATCGTGGGATCATCATGCCGCCTTCGTCCAAGTCACGTCTTGCACCCTATTGAACTACAAAACAATTACTTGCAAATTCATTAGTCCAATTTAGTTATGTTGGTCATCAAACACCAAAATCCAAAGTAAATAGGCCTAAGGTCCATTTTTCATACAATCTCCCCCTTTTTGGTGATTGATGACAACACGACCAAAACAAGCAAATAATAAAAATTTTAGAATTTAAAAATTGTTTACTTGCTAGGATGCAATGCAAAGGGCAAGGTTATATGATACTAAAAGATACCACATGTAAACATCTTTAGAAACTTATCTTGCCCTTGCAAATGTCCCCATGTGGCATTATGAATTTAAGCCCCCTAACTCCATAATTCACTCTCCTCCTTTCTCAAACCATTACCACTTATAAATTATTATGATCGGGCTTGTTTTTGGTCCTATAAATTCTCCCCCTTTGAATCAAACAACGAAAAGGAAGACATTAGTAGCACAAGGGAGGGTCAAACTTTGTGATCCTTTGTATGTGGAGTGGAATAGGTCATAAAATTTGACTCTCACATTACATAGACTAAGCTCTCCCTAAATATATACATACATATGATGAAGAATGTAGATTATGCATAATTGGCAAATTAATGCTCAAGAGAGTTTAATCTATATAATGCATGGAGAAAGCATATAAATACCAAAGTGAAATCAATATGATGATATTGGTTTAGAAATACCACATGTGAAAACCAATTTGATTTATACCACTTGCAATAGGTGGTGGATATTTAAAGTATGATGCTTAACTTCGGGGACTCCATTTTCCTTGCAATGAGACTACTACACACATGATAAGCTTAAAAATATGTTAGTCTCAAAGCATCCAACTTGTAGAGTAACCTCCCCCTAAATTTGTGTACACAAGTATAGAATACTTATAGGAGACATGCACATTGATTTTAGAATAAAAAATACCACTTGAAAGATGACATCACATGAATGTGAAAATCATTTTCGAAGGTGATATTCGGGAGAAATTATCTACAATTTGGACTTTGGCACATATTAGATGAACAATTGTAAAATAAGCTATGTGCCGTGCTCCTAAACAATTTAAACCATGTAGGTTTGCTCCAAGGGTTAAGAATGAAACCGAGCAAGCCTACCATAAGATATACCTAGTGTATGCAAGACAAAAGATTAAACATGCAAATGCAAACCTAGGTATGAAAAGGAACTAGATGCTCAATGAAATTGTAAGAAATTAAATCTAGTTACCTAACATGGAAAGGAGAATTTGGGTCCCTAGTATTCACTAACCCACTTGGCAATTTCCTTGTCCATAATGATTCACCCCATGAAATGCACCTATACTTTGCCAAGTCTCTAAATTCTCGAAGTCCATCGGACTTTCCACTTCCCTTTCGGGATCCAAACCTTCATGGTGCTCTTCATTTTGGAAATGATCTCCTTTGGCACCCAAACGCGTTTGGCCCCATTGTTGGCTTGCTTATTCACCTTGATGGCCACCACCTTATCATTTTTCTTCTTCAAGAGATAAGGTGTGGATGCCTTTTTGTCCACCTTGTTGGTGTAGGTGTTGGAGAGCTTGCTTATTTTCTTTTTGTTTCTCTCTTTCTTCTTAGTTCCACCCCCATTCTTCACTTTGCACTCATAGGACTTGTGACCTTCCTTGTGGCACGCGTAGCAAACCACCGTTTGTCCTTCATCAAGCTTTTTCACTCCCTTGATGGTGTTATCTTGATGAAGTTGGGCTTGCTCCGTTTGCCTCTTACTTAAGTCAAGTCCTTGATAAGGCGAGCCACTTCTTGCTTGAGTTGCTCATTCTCTATTACAACCTCTTGTGTGCATGTATCTACAACAACTTTCTCAACACAAACTTGGTTGCACAAGGGTGAGTCTAAACATAAATCACTGCAAGAAGTAGAAGCACCCTTTTTAGGCTTGTCAAAGACAGAACTTTTCTTTTTAGGTGCCTTGGTGAGGGTTGTAC